TATGGGATTTATTGTAAGTTTACAAGTAAACATTGCCAGGAGCTTACAGCCATTTATTTTCTGGTTAATCACTTCAAAAACAGTGTGGTAATAAAAAAGATACAATTGGGAGCCCTAATAAGATCTACTGTTTGCAGATAAAGGACTTTGCTTCCTTGTTTGTAAGCTATTTGTCACTGTGGTATATATATAATCCCCCTTTTTTACTGTAGCGCTCTTGCACAGACCAGGGGCAGGTTAGATTTATACTGCATCAAAAGGACAGGCTGTGGCTGTTCCAAAATCAGTAAATTTTCAACTTTGAAATGTAAGGGTGGGGAGCAACCAGAAATGAATCAAAACAAATTAATTTACCTCCTAGAGCTACAAAAACAAGGTGACTATTCAAAGCATAACCCTTAGGGCATGTTTACACTACAAATGAACTTTTATTTATTAAAATTAAAACATTTCTAGCCCACCTTTCTGTGTCAGATAAAATGCCCAAAGTACCTACTATGGTATTACAGGTAAATGAGGCAGTCACCTCAGGCAGCGGGTTTTAGGTATAACAAAAAGAGAGAATTGCTAGTTATTTAGTTTATTTTTTGTTGTATTTTAACTCCCATGAAAAAGGCTGGTGTGGGATCTTCAGTCTCAGGTGCCAAAATAATTTGGCCAAGCTTAGGTACTATGGGCTTTGACTGAGAGTAAATGGAGGGCAAGTGCCATTTGCTGTTCTGGCTCAGAGGGCAAACTTTCTTGATCTGCTCCTGTTCCTTTATGGAATTTAAGACTCCAAATGTTTAAGGAAATCTCAGCACCTTACGTACCTGTAATGCATGACAATTCACTAAAAAAAATGGGCACTTTCCCAAATCCTTATGAATATAAGCATTATGATACAATGCGGTTTCTGCACATGCAGTAGAGGGAAGTGAGGGGTAGATGGGGCTCATCAACCTGGGAAGTTAGACCCAGGAGAAGGAAAACTCTGATCCTTGCTGCCTTCCGGGATATCTTTGGGAGAAGAAAAGGCTAAGAAGCAAACCCTACACAAATCTGGAGTGAGGTCCCTGAGACGGTTGGCTGGCACCTTGCATGTCTTTGTCCGGCATCAGCTCTCCAGGATCTCAAGCAAAAGACTCCCCCCCCCCACACCTCTATGTGCAGTGAGCATGTGTATGGGCTGTAGGTTTGCATGCTTTCTCCTTGCTCCTGTTGCCAGTACTAAGCACGGTAACCTCATATCACCCTTTTGAAATCTTTAGAATGGACTAAAGGAAATGCCATTGACCTTAGGAAGAGATAAGGGCTCATCAACATGCACCAATATTGCAAAATCATCTTAAGTGTTCACAGTGTGCTGAAGTTGTGAAATTTTGTAATGAACAGCACTCTTTTCGAGGTCTCTGAATACCATTTATTTTATCTGTACTGAACTCTTATGCTATAAAACAAAAGCTAAATAAGTGTTTGTTGCCCAAAATCTAGGCCATTTTTTTTAGACATCATAGCACCGCCAGTTCCTAGTTTTCACTGAGATGGTAAACCTGTGTCTGGAGTTCTGTATTATTTCAGATTGCAGGTTCAGGCTCACATGATTGAATGCTTCTCCACACAATCCCCTCTTCAAGTAGAAAACTAAATATCGGGGAACTAAATTCTGGTTTAGCCTTCTTCCATTCATGCCAATTTTATTTGTGCAGGCATCTTTTTCTTAATGCAAACCAGGAAGGTTAAGTTAGAACCCCCCTATTTTATATTCTTCGCTCCCCCCTCATGGAAGAGAAGTCATGAGCCCCCTCTGGCTGCCTGAAGTTGTACAGTCTACCTTCAGGTTTTCCACCCTAGTGAGCAGGCCACTGTTTTGCATTTGAAAGCCGCCCATAATGTCTGGAAAGTGAAATGCTAGAATTCCAGTAATGTAATTGCCAACCTTGTGCCAAAAGATAACACTGTTCCTGCTTGTTAGCTAAGTAAATATATGAGACCTGGGGAGTGGACAGTTAATATCATAACCCCACCCCCCTCTTATTTCTGCATACCATCTAGTTGCCCAGAAGGAGCGGATGAAAACATCTGGCACTACCAAATCCGGGTAGCTAGGTGGCTCACTTCCAGGGGCTATTTCATCTTCCTCATTTGTGTAAGTGGCAGGTTGTCTGATTTTTTTTATTATCTTGCCTTATGGGGTTCTCTGATAAGCAATGGTAGCAATGCCTTCAGGCATCAGAACTACTCCTACATGGATATCCCTTGTTTAGGAGTAGACAACCCTGTCTCCCAACTTCTCTAAAGAACTTTTTATATCCTCTGCCCTCCTGCTTAAGCCCCTTTTGACACTGTTTCTCCTATTAGCCATTTACCTCTGCTGCAGACATCTCTTTGGGGTTCCTCCCAAAGCAAATACCAGCTTCAGTAGGATGATTTTTCTCGATATTGCAAGTTAGGTGCAAAGTTGCATTTTGTGTCCAGTTTGGCTATAGGAATCTCAAGGTTAACTTTAATCAGTCTTTACAGTGTGCTTTTGCTTGTTCTCCTATACAGGAGTGCACATTCTCTTTCATCTAAACACACACAGATCCTTTATATACTCCATCAGTACCAGTTTGTTCAGGCCCTTTTCTGGCTCAGACTGGAACCACTTAATGATACAGGCCTGAACCAAGTTTGATAGCTGAGAGAGATAGGCTGGCCCCACACTTTCTGCCCCAGTCATCATGAGTGATGGGACTATAGATGTGGGGTCGTTCCTGTGCTCTGTCACTCTCTGCCACTGAATTGTCCTGCCACTCCAGCAAACATTACATGAAATGGAAAGGAGGGGAAACTTTCCACATCGCCTCCATCGGCCTTCCATAGAGAGAGGTCTTCATATATGATTCCTATGGCCCATGGAAAGATAATCAGACTATGGGAGCCTTTCTCCTGCCTCACATGGCTGAGATTCCACCTGTCCCCAATTTGTATGCTACAGTTCTGTCTGTTCCTACTGTCTGAATGTCAGATCATTGCTCCATCAACGAAATGGAATCTTGGATTTTCAACCTGGTGTTATTGGTTGAATGTAACAGCTGCCTTAACAGTCTTATAAATCATCTGTTAGATTATTGTATAGTTTTTTTATTCTAGTCTACGAAGTATTGTGAGTATATAACTCCTGAAATTAGCAAATTGCAGCTAAGGTGTTCTCCTGTATACACTCGGTAAATGTGCAATTCAGCCCTCTTTTGGATTACTCTCAAAGGGAAGGGGTGTAGCTCAGTGGTAGAATACAGTACACACTTGCATGCAGAAAGTATGCAGCACCAAACCCTTGCATTTCTGGGTAGGGCTGGGAAAGACCCCTGCCTGAAACCCAGAGAGTCAGAGCCAGTCAATGTAGAAATATTGAGCTGGATGGATCAATGATATTATTCCCTTTGAAGCAACTTCATTGCATTCCTAAAATAGACAGTAAAGTTTCTTAAAGTGTCTTTCCACTACTTTTGATTAGTCTTACTTGCTTTTGATCCCGTTCTTCACGCCTGAATTTTCTTACTTCACATTGACTTTTGTTTCAAAGCTATATTGAACTTGAATTTTCAATGTGTACTTCAAACATATTGGAGGAACGAAATAAAAAGACAAAAATCAATACACAGTGAAAAGTGTATCACGAGCTTGCTATTGGAGACAAAGCCTGCCAATTTGAAGGGGCTGCTTACATCTTTTCTGAATCCACAGGAGCTTGCCCAAAAGGCCAAGCATAGTAAATGCAACCCTGAGAGAGTACACTCACAGTTGGATTCCTTGTAGGACAATACTGACCAAACTGCTATAAAACACAAATCCATTTATTTGTTTTGGAGATTTGTAGTGGAAAGTGACATTTCATTTAGCTCATGCCATTTACTGAAAGGGCCACAAAAGATGGGGAACTTTTATTTATTGTTTTACCGCTTTAGAAAACATGCTGCTGGTTCATATTCCAACAGACAAGGAGTCTGTTGAGCAAAGTCCAGAGTTCACAGATGTGTAAGGGAGGCCTAGAGCTGGGGGAGAGCAATCATTAGACAAACAAAATAACCAGCACAGTCTGAAAAAACTACCACAGTTACAACGGGGAGACAGTATTTCCATAGCCAATGAAGGTGCTTTGTAAAGCAGGCACAGAAGCATTTCTGCTATTCATGGTTTGAGCAATGAGAGATTATTTTATCACTACCCTAACAAGATAAAGCAGAGTTACAGTGCAATGCATGCCTACTCAGAAGTAGATACGGTCAGTGGGACTTACTTCCAGGTAAAGTTATAGATGATTTAAAGGATTATGTGTATAAACATACAACCGAAGTAGGGTAATTGTTGTAGACTCAGAGTGAGGCCAGTAGAGAGTTTTAAGATCTCAGATTCATATAAAACAAGGGCACGCAACATGGACTACAACTTCCATTATCCTTGAATGCTAGTGATGTGTGCTGAGATCAATGGGAGCTGTAATCCAACAACTTTTGGCAGGTACCATGTTGACTACCCCAGTGCATGTCTGCCTAATCTTTGTTGATAACTAATTGCTAGAGGCAATCTGAAATTCACCCTGCTGTCCCCAGCCAAGTTTTGCGCACATAAACACACATATACAGTGTCTTTTTTTAAAAAAATGCCTAAAACAAAAACATTGGGGCCGCACAAAAGAACAATTGGGTAAGGATGTTGGCTATGGGGCACAGGCTTGCTACCCTTGGCATATATGACTTAAATACAATAATCTTTAAAAAGTATATAGCCCATTTAAAATTTTCTGAAGAATGACATTCTGTTTGGTTCCATAGTTTGAATGTAGATTTTTCATCAATAAGGAGAAATGCTGGGATATATTTTACCACTTTCTGAGACATACTAAGTTTACTTGGTTTTTTTTCTATTTAATTGACTGATCTTAATCAATTTGTACAAATTATGGGATTTTGCTGAATGTTGCAAACATCCGCTTTGTTATGGCCCAGTATAATAATAAAGCTTTGTTTTGTCCTTAGGTTAACATGTTTGTAGAAGGATTCCATGATGCTATTATCCTCTATGTTCTGGCTCTACGGGAAGTTTTGAAGAATGGCTTCACTAAGAAAGATGGAGAAAAGATTGTCCATCAGACATGGAATAGGACATATGAAGGTAGGAATAATCAAGTGTTTGATCTAATTTTGTTTGTCCAGTCTTGGGGAAATCTGTAACTTTTTGGTTGTACCATCTAGCTTCTTAAAATTAAAACCTGCCACCTCCTGCTGATAGTATACCATAAAATGAAAAATGAGGGAGCGTCCATTCCCCATTGGTTGTTTAAAAAGTCCTTTTCTCTCCAATGCAAATTACAATGGTGTGTGTGGGTGTGGGTGTGTGCGTATGCACACACACACACACACACACGTGTGGGGTTACCATTCATTCCCTTTTTTGCTTTGGCACACCTACTGCTGGAATGTGGGGCTCAGGGTGGAAAAGACCCCCACCCTTGTTGTGTTGTGTTGTGTTGTGTTGTGTTGTGTTGTGTTGTGTTGTGTTGTGTTGTGTTGTGCTGTGCTGTGCTGTTTCCAGCAATAAAAAGGGGGGAAAGGGGTAGAACCATGAATTATCTGGTTCCTTGAAAGGATGAGATATAAATTAAGGATTCCTAGTAGATAATTATCGGTATCAAAAAAAAAAGTGGCAGCTTATAATAAGTAGGTAAGAAGATAATGGTGTGACAGCAGTGACAGCTTTTTATCACTCCTTTACATACCACCTTATGCCTCACATATTGTATTTGGAAGGTTCTCCCTACCTCTGGTTATCTACACATACGTATGTATTAACAAGGACAACATAGACAAAAATGGAGACTGTGACATGTTTAAACAGGGTGTATAGATAGCATGCCTGCTCACTAGATATTAAGAAACTACATTAAATAGCCCCCTGTTGTCTACATTTTTATAGCATCACTGTCAGTAATTTTATATACAAAGAAAACCCTTATAATAATAGGTTAGCTGTCATCATTAAGATTCTTGGCTCCTTCCTTGTTTTTGAAGATTGCAGCCATTTGACTCTTTCATGTGCATATATTAGCATGCTTCCTTACATTGCTTCATCTTTTCCATTTAGGTTTTATAACTGAAAAGCTGGGTTTAATAAAAATGCAAAAATGCCAAGTCCTCCTTCCTTTTCTTTGCTGTATTAGATTTTGAACAGCTTTTTGTGTGTGCATTCAGAAATGTTTCAAGGTCTCCATTTGCTGTTTTAGATTGTGCATGCCAAAGTGGTCAGGGTTTTCAGTGCCAAACCTTTTGGGCCCTTCTGCCCCACCCGCATCCTGCCAATCTTAGAATCTATGAATATGTTCAAACTCCAGAACACACACCCGTGCATTAAACTTTGTAAGGTCAGCTGGACCTTACTGGTAAGACCAAGCTGCTCTTGCCAGATACATCTGTCATTTCTTACCGTGTAAGATTACCACAATTTCCAGTGGAAGTACTTAAACTGAAAGGAAATATTTCCTTTAGATAAGAACCCAACAATGAGTTCTGAAATTGGAACAGATATGAAAAACATAATGGACCACTTTCTGGGCTTCAGTGAGTTTTTCTTTCTCACAGTAATGGAGAGGCATTTGGTTGGAAAGGACAAGAAATTTATCCTGTCCAAGTCTTTATACCGATCCAGGTGGCGGGTGGCACTGTGGTCTAAACCACTGAGCCTCTTGGGCTTGCTGATCAGAGTCAGCGGTTCAAATCCCCGCAACAGGGTGAGCTCCCATTGCTCTGTCCCAGCTCCTGCCAACCTAGCAGTTCAAAAGCACGCCAGTGCAAGTAGATAAATAGGTACTACTGTGGTGGGAAGGTAAACGGCATTTCCGTGTGCTCTGGTTTCCCTCACTGTGTTCCGTTGTGCCAAAAGCGGTTTAGTCATGCTGGCCACATGACCCAGAAAGCTGTCTGTGGACAAACATCGGTTCCCTCAGCCTGAAAGCGAGATGAGCACCTCAACCCCATAGTCGCTCAGGATCCAGGAGCTCAACACATTGAGCCCCAACAATAATCCACATAATCCAAACCTCAGTACAGTGGTACCTCGGGTTACATACGCTTCAGGTTACAGACTCAGCTAACCCAGAAATATTACATCAGGTTAAGAACTTTGCTTCAGGATGAGAACAGAAATCGTGCAGCAGCAGCAGCAGGAGGCCCCATTAGCTAAAGTGGTGCTTCAGGTTAAGAACAGTTTCAGGTTAAGAACGGACCTCCGGAATGAATTAAGTACTTAACCCGAGGTACCACTGTAGATCAAAAGACAGTAACAAATAGTGTTGGGTTAGCCAACTACCAGCAGGGGAAGGAGGAGTCTCCATCATGGGTTAAGAGAGTTTAGCTGCTCTCTTGCATCAGTGGACTCTGCTGTCTCATGCCTTATATACACAGCCAATCACTGCACTCTGCAGGGCTGGGCCTCCTTCAGATGCCATTTCCTCAGGAGGACCATTCTGCATGATGTTGGAATCAGGTCTTTAGTGTGGTTGCAACTACCCTTCGGCTCTTCCTCCCACCACATAACAGATTGGCAGTATCTATGTTATCATTCTGGTGCCTATTGAAGCCCTTCCCTTATTCAACAAATCTTTCAAGAGGATATTCTTTTAAAATCCCAGTCTGTGTCTGTACTGAACTTGAAATTGTTTTTAGCTATCTTTTTAACTTTGGAAAGTTTTATGGGAAGTGACTCACAAATGAAATAAATAAGAATGATAGAAAATTATAATAGGCAGAAATTGAAGGGCTGCACCAAAGAAGCCTGAGGATGATGTTATTTCTGTTCGTGATACTCAACTTGAATGTGATTTTTATTGTAAGAACCTTTTATTAACTTAATTAGAGAGCCTTTCAGGGCTACAAAGCAGGATACCATTATCCTAAATATATCAGTAATGTTGATTTTACTTTAAAAACTTAAGGATTATTCTAGTACCATATGCATATTACATGCATTATACCAGTGCAGTAAACATGGGACTGCTTATGAAGATAGCCAGTGTAGTGCAGTGAGTAGTGCTGGATTTAGACTGAAGAGACCTTAAGCCAGTTTCTGTCTCTCAGCCTGCTTCACAGAGTCGCTGTGAGGAAAGAAGGGTAGCAGGAAGAACCATGTAACATGCTGTTAAGGATTTCTAGCCTCATAGTTGCAACTCTTTCTCTAAATTATCTATGCCATCTCAAAGGGTGAATGTATTAGAGATTGATACATTCGATAAGAGATTGAGTGTTTGGGGGGGAGGCTTGTTAATTTCATTGTACACAGGTTGTACAATGACAATAAAGTTGTTGTTATTATTATTATTATTATTATTATTATTATTATTAGAACTCTTTGCTTGGCTTTTGTCTTCAGACACGTAGATGCATTAAACTATTAGCATCCTCAAATATTCCAGGGCCTAGACTTTCCTGTATAAAATTATTTTGCCCCTTAATGGCTTTTTAAAAATCAGCAAAATAGGGGTTCTGAAATAGGACTTATGCCCAGTAGGCTGTGTGTGTGTGTGTGTGTGTGTGTGTGTGTGTGTGTGTGTGAGAGAGAGAGAGAGAGAGAGAGAAGAAATGTTAGGAATTTTAGGAATGCAGCCCAGAGGTAAAATTACAATTTCTTTTGGAATGCCAACAGAAGTACTGGAAGACTAATGAGGTTTCCTGCCATATCAGTCTCTAATAATTCTGCCATTTGCTTTTCTTGGAAGCATTATGTGCTGTCAACTCATTAATTTTTAAATTTCTCACCTGCCACTCTCTAGGCATTGCAGGGCCAGTATCCATAGATGCCAATGGAGAAAGATATGGAGATTTTTCTGTGATTGCAATGACTGATCCAGAAACTGGAATGCAGCAGGTAAGTGCTGAAATAATGCTAAATGCTAGGCTGGAACAAGGATTCGGTGGCAAAGTGTTTATTGACTCTACCGTGGGCAAGACATATTATGTCTCTTGCAGTCTCCATTTCTACTAAACCAATTAAGGAAAGAATTTAGACTGATCACTGTTACAAGTCCTTCTTACTAACCCTTCAGCAGAACCTCATAAGAAAGCTTGATGTGCAGGGATTGGAACAAACTGCCATTAAAACACACACACACACACTTTCTTACTGGATTATTACTGGATCATCATCAGCCTGAAAAATATGATATGGCAACCTAGACTCTTGAATTCAAGATCTTAATGAATGTGGGAGACTGCATACATTTCTGAAGAAAATGAAAAGTATTCATGACCTTGTTTAGCTAGGCTGGTCATCAAAAGCAAGAGATACAATGCAGCCAAAGGAGAGGAGTGCCTTGAGTATTGGTACTGTGAAATTAAACACTACAATTGCATAATAGCACTACAGGGTCCTTGGTTTACAAATGTCATGGTCTTCATCTGTAGAAATTAAAGACAGCATTCAACCAATAATATTACATGCTAGAGTGAAAATCCAGATATATATATCAGATGTGGATAATATCCTAGACAGTGGCATTGTTCAGAAGGTTTTAGTTGCAGTGAACAAGAAACTAAATATGAGGCAGCAGAGAGGTGAAATTTTCTGGAAATTTTGAAGCTATGGGAAGCAAATTCCCCAGGGTAAAACAGAAATATATTCAGCTCTTAATTTCTCATCAGCACTAAACTTATTCTACTGCTTTAACCTTTAATGATATAACATGGATCACTTATAGCTAGTGAGTGTATAAAATCAAACTATTTGCCTTATACAGAACAATCCCATGCATATTCATTCAGACATAAAATCTGCTGTTTAGTTGAGCTTCCTCCTTGTTAAACAAATAGAACTTCAGCCTCAAAAATATAAATGCCTTAAACTGCAATCCTATAAAAATCAGAATGTCACAGTGAGCTAAAAATCAGAATGCCTAGCACTAGTCCCTCTTTCCTTCCCCTCCATTCCTTAACCTGTGTATTTCCCTTCCCAGACCCAAACCTTGCTGTTTCTCACCACCAATTAAACTGTTTGCATGTGTCTGCATGTGTGCCTGCCTGGTTGCCTGCCTGCATCTCTGTGTCACATGTGGCTGGCCTATGGTGACCCCTGGCTTTGCCTACCCCAGCCCCACCCACAGTTAGCTGCCCTGCCCTCTGCTCAGTCCTTCACCCCACCAGCCTCAGGGGTCAGCAGCCGCAGCTCGTTAGATGTCATACATTTCAAGAAGAATGTTGGTAAAATGGAAATAATGGCTTATAAAGTATAGTAATGTCATTTGCTGCATAACCTGCTAAGATTAGTTGGGAAATTGTACATATAAACCTGTTAACTGTAAGGACAGTGAATTGGTTTGATCTGGTGTCAACCAGACTGTTTGCTGTTATGGTGCTTTTGATTGATTTGTGTGTGTAATATTGTGCTGCCTTGGCCATACACAAAGACTGATAACATGGAAGATGTCAGAAGAGAACTATAAAGATTATTACAGGTCCAGAAGTCATCTGAGGAAAGGCTGAAGGACACAGCCTGTTAACCCAAAACCTTGGAGTGGAGGGGAAGTGCACATGGGAAGGATAATATTGACCCCAGTCTCCACATATATTCATGTGCAGCTCTCATCTATGACAGGAAATCCAGCAACTGCATGATTAGACTTTTTTGTATATTTAGTACATCCTTTCTGTTTCCCTTTGGAAGCCTCACTCATGTCACATTCCAGCTTCTTTCCATTTTATGTTTATTGACATCATTCATTTTGCTGGGATTATCTCATCCTAATTTATAATGCTGACCTCTCTTTGATGGTACTGGTGGTAATATTAGTTAATTTGGAAGGTTCATTCCCACTGGTCATGAAAACCTTTGTTTCTAAGTGGAATGCAGCCAAACCAATTTAGGCTTGACCAGCAAATCTTTATCTGATAATTTGGTGTCTAGAATATGGTAAATAAAATGAACCTAAAATGAAGTAAACATACATTTTAAAGAAAAACAGAGTAGTTTGGGACAACAAAAAAATAGAGGTGTGGTGGTAGAGAACAAGAGCCAAGCACATAACCCAAAGAGCTCTGACAGCCATACACAAATGACAGCAATAATTTACACACCATTCAGTGAAGTAAACAAAAGTTTATGTGCTGGACATTTGGTCGCTCCAAATTTCAGAATGGGGCAAGGAAGGATTTATGATCCAAAAATGCATGGCTCCAGCAATTATGTCTTTCAATTGATGGATTTTTGGATGCAATTCTGAAAAGTGTATGTTATATATAACAGAGATTAAGCTAGCTGATATACCCCAGTTTTCTCCCTACTTCCAGAAGCTGCTTGGAAATAGACTGTCATTTTGCTATATATCTATTTTCTTCACAGGTTATTTGGAACTATTATGGAAAGCATGGACGGCTTGAAATGCTTCCAAATGTAAATTACCCCTGGAAGCTCAAAGCAAGAACAGATGACAGCCGAGGTTTGGAACACCCAAGCAACACACCCTGCAAATCATGTAAGTTTACTGAGGTTAACTTCTCCTTTCCAAATCTGCAACAGACAGCAGTCCATGTTAAGGAATTGCGCTTGTTCTCAGATACACTTCTGCATCAATATCAATACTACAAATAACAACCTGACCAGAGGAAATTTACTGAGGCTCAATTTACGTATAGCTAATGTTCATGGGAAAATCTGGGATAGTTTCTTTCAAAATGTGAAGATGGAACACTGGCAAAGTGGGCGTGTGCAAATGGTTTTGTATATTGTAATAGCATCGAGATTTCCCAAGCAAAAGGTTGCAAAGCAGAGAGCCAATGTGGTATAGTGGTTAGAGTGTTGGACCTGGGACACCAGGGTTCCAATCCCCACTCAGCAAAGAAACTCACTGGGTGACCTAGGGCCAGTCACTGTATCTCAGCCCAACTACCTCACAGTGTTGTTATAAAGATAAAACGGGGAGTAGGAGAGCTATGTGCGCCACCTTGAGCTCCTTAGAGGAAAGGTGGGATAATAAATAAATGAATAACCTTGCTGAAACTCCCGGAAGAGAATAGTGGTGCTGCAGATGGAGCTAGGTGGGATAAAGGAGTAAATGGGAGAAGATACAGAAATGCAGTTGAAATGAAGCTATCATGAGGTGAGTGTAAATGCTGAACAGGCACAAGAATGAATCAGGCCCAAAGTTTATTAAGCTTTGAAACGTTTGGCATAGAATGGCCGAGGGAACCAAAGCATTCTGGCAGCCTGCCTTATAGCCTAACTATGTCGAGAGGAAAGTCAGCTTCTTCACTGCAGACTGCTCTTTCTATCTGCTGTGACCAACCATAGAATGTAAATGGTACCAAGGTACCCAAAATGGTCCAGAAGCGAGACATTACCCCCAGAGCCCTTAAGGGTTCTCCCAAGGAAGGCATTCAGTGAAATCACTCCCACCTGCTCTCAAACTATGCTCCTTGCCCAGTGCCCCAGCGGTAGAGCAAGTTGTGATACAATTATTGATGCAAGAGACTGAAAGCACCGTGAAAGAAAATATCCTTGTTAGGAGGAAGGCCAAAAAAAAAAAAAGCTGGAACCAAATGGTTGACTAGGAATTTAGGTAAAATTCCTTCCTGGCACTATCACCCAGCGACCGGCAATTAGCCCATAACAAAGGAAGCAAGCAGAAGAAACATCCAAGAATTAGGGAGAGTGGGAGGGCAATTTAAGAACTCTCCACCCCATCCCCACCAGGATAGGAGCCAGAATTTATAGTCCAGAAGTACACCAGATGGATTGAATTCCTTAGAGCAAGTCAGAACTTTGCTCCACCTAGCGCAATACTGTCTACACTGACTGGCAGTAGTTCTCCAGAGTCTTAACCAGTCCTAGGTGGAAATGCCTGGGATTGAGGCTGGGACCTTTTGTATGAAAGGCAAATGGTTTGCCACCTAGCTTCACTCCCTTTCCACCTCCTATCCATGCCCAGCTGGCATTTGCTAGCTGACCAAGGAGCAGGTCCCACAATGCAGCCAAGGTGGTAGTCATGTTGTTGGCTCACTCCCTATCTCCCGGCATCAATATAAAAGAAGGCAGATGTTTATAAATTTGAGATTTGAATTGCATGGATGAACCATTTCAACACACACACACACGAAAATCACAGCAAAAAACAGCATATGGATGTAAAAAGTTGTATTTCAACCCATCCTAAGGTAATTCATTATTGACTGAGAAGTACTGTTTCCCAGTGCCCTCAAGGCGTGTTGGAGAGAAAATACATGCCTTCCCTTTAAAAAGTTCAGTTCAACTCTTTCAGTTCTGCTGTTATAGAAAGTTTTTTAAACTCACCTGTTTTCCTTGGTTTTTAACAAAATGTTTCATTTTAAACTTTGGGATTTCTGTTAGCGTTTATTGAAATTTATTAGCTGACAGATTTATTGTGATTTGAATGGTATATTTCAATGTTTGTTTTTAATGGAAACTGTATCTTTGTTTTAATGTAAGCCGCCTTGTATAGTCTTGAAAGGTGGCTTAGAAATAACTGAAATAAATCAGCAGCACTTCAGAGTGTGACAACAATAAGCTCCAAGGTAAACATAAAGGAAGATAATAAAAGCAGTTGGAACTATAGAAGAGTTTCTTTGGGCACTTTTCAAAATGGATTTTGAATAGATTTGTTTATAATATTACATTGATCATTTATTCAGTCATTTTGTGAGCTTGAACGTATTTCTTTGTGATTTGCTCTTGGTTATTTCTTTTTTAATTTTTCAAGCAGGTGGTCTAGGAGAGTCAGCAGTTACAGGAATTGTTGTGGGTGCCTTGCTAGGAGCAGGATTGTTGATGGCTTTCTACTTTTTCAGGTTGGTTCTGTTTTGGGGAAAATATTGCCTACATTTTATAATTTGTATAAAGCAAATCAATCATTAGAGAAACAAGCCATGGTTTGTTGAATCATCTGTGGGGCAGATTGTGCTTTATTTATTTTGAGGAGTGGACGGGTACTTAATATTGCTGATTTTTAAATGTCGTGAACTTTATGAGCAGCTTTGTATTGCACTCTGTTTTATTATAGTTGGAATTGTATTATTATTCTGTTAGTGTAAGATACATTCAGTGTTTATTACTTGTAAACGAGGTCTATAATTTTTTTTGGCAGTAACAACATGTAAGAATTTAGTCAGAATAACAATTAGCAATTTAGATATGTTTGAGTATTTAGATTTTACTGAATTGTGAGCGGACTTTAATGGGGCAGTCCCAATTTCACTGAAGAACACAAATACAGAACACAAATTATATTTAACAGTGTGAGGTGGCAAGCAATCTATTCCACTGAACAATATGAAGCCATATGCTGCAATCTTGAAGCAGTTCTTTAAAAAAAACTGTTTGAGAGAACTAACTACTAAATGGTTCCACTATTTGCAGCCCTAACTTCAAAGCATCTGTTGCACTTTATACTGGCTTCCTTCTCACTTAGTTTCAGATCTGTGGAAGAATATTCAATTTGTCTGAAATCTTTGAATATAACTTAACTTTGAGATCAGGCAAAAATGCTTCAAGGCACACCTCTTTAATCTTTTGGCAATGGTGTTCATTCATCTCATTTATCATTAGGAACACATTTGTACTTCACAGACATTCTTTTGTGAAGGGAGTTATATTCCTAATTATCCTAAACTGAAGGAGGTTTTCTTACCCTGTGCTACCCATTTCTTTTATGCAGAAAAAAATACAAAATAACTATTGAGAGGCGAAGTCAACTGGAAGAATACAACATCGGCAAGCACTGGCAATTACGAGAGGACTCTATAAGGTCTCACTTTTCTGCTGCATGAAGTAAGGAGAAACAAACTGTTTTTGTGTGTGTGTGGAGGAAATCTGTAGACAAATGGACACTACCAAAGACAGCAACAGAAAAGAAGAAGCTTATTAAGGACTCAGCATTTTAAAAGTAGAGTAACTCTGTCTTAATTTCTTTCAGAAACTCAGGAATGATTTACTAGCCACATTATTCCACGTGGCCTTTTTATCTTGTGGAAAAGAAAATGACAAAAGAACAAGTGTGTTCCCCCCCAATGGTTTTGACACTTGGTGTGTATCCAAGACAAGTCGCTGTGGTCAGCCATTTTGTTTCTTGGAAATGTGAAGGTTCATTCAGCGGACCTTCGTTAGCTGTACCTCATACCAGATTATAAAAGGAATGTGTTTTCAGAGACACAGGTGCTGCTTTTTAGTATTGTTCAGCATTGAATAGTGGAGATTAGAATTGAGCAAAGGAAGTGTGAGGTAGTACAAAACAATACAATTTATAGGAAAGGAGCAGAAGCATCTTTATAGAACAGAAGAAATCCCAAGGCAGTGGAAAGATAGTATTTGGTTCTAAGGACCTACTCACACAACAAATTAGTTTTGGATATCATTCCAATAGCATTCCCTGTGAAAGGATTCCTTTGCAAATATGTTGTGTATTGGTCTAAACTGCTTGCCTGTGTTCCTCGGGATGTTTGGGTTTAAGAGAACTTCCATTTTACATGGCATTTTTGTTTCAAGAAAGCTCCCTCCTCTGTATCATTTCCATGACCTATATATGGATTCTGCAGTGTTCCTGTCCTAGAGATCACTGTAGGATTATGCATTCACTGGTTACATGTCTCCTGCTTTTTAATCTGCTGGGTGTTTCTTGTGTAAAATAAACACGAACCATTTCCAGAAAAGAGGCAGGCCTGATCTGCACATAATGCGACACTAGGTAAAAGAACCCTGAGGTGGAAGAGTGGTCTTACAACTTCAGAATACAGATGAGTTGAGAGGAGGTGCCATTTCTGAATACTGTACTCCAAGTTATTAAAAAAAAGCCACACACAAAGGAAGGAACTGAGTGTAGCACTAAGGCGATTGTTCCAAAAGGGCAAGCATTGTGGCTTGCCAGATTCAACAGTCCCCACTTTCCTCCCCCATGCACTGTTCTGGGGGTTCTCCCACCCACCCCTGTGCCAGTTTCAGGGGATATGGGGCATGCAGGAGAAGAAGGAAAGGAAAGCCCTGTTGCACAAGCAGAAGCCCTTGCCTAGGGCTTCTGCTGATGTGATTCATTAGTTGAATCCTTCCCAATAACTGAGCAAGAGGGGGCAACATGAAAAATTGAGAAAAGTCTAGGCTCCCTTTCACAGCCATGCTAGGCTTCTGCATAAATATTGTTTTTTACACAGGGAAGCATTCAGAAATATGATTTCCCTTACCTGCCTTCTGAAGTAGGATAGTCCAATCTGTCAGCTCATTCCCATCTCATCCTGCTTTATGTGTAAACTAGGCCAATAACAGTAAATGAGATCCTTGCCTCAGACAAAGCACCTTTGGCTGATCTCTTTATGTACATAGAGATATGTACACACAAAAATACAAAACAGCTAGAAGTTCAGAAGTTCTGGCTCCTCTGGTTTTGTCTCCACCAGGTTGCCCTTCTGCTTCCTTAGCCTTTTGGTTCCCACTGCTAAAATGGGAAGAAACGGGCAAGGCAAGAATATTGATTTGTGTAGATGTATGGGCATGACAGCTGTGCAGATGAGAGAATCTTAGGAACTGAATAATACAGCTCTAAAAAATAATCAGGCCATTACTCAGCAGCATGTTCCATTAAAATCTGTGGTACTTACTTCTGAGAAAAATGAGTACAGAGTGAGGATGCAATATATCATCCCTGCTTCAGATTCTTCAGCTGGAAGCAAACACCCCATGGCCACCTTTGAGACCTGAGTGTAGCCCAAACTATGTAAATATTAAGTATTAGAGTGGTTTTGTACAGTAAAGGCAACTCCAAACTTTTTTGTTGTATAAAAAGTGACATCTGGCTAACATGTTATTTTTTAGGTATTCTTATCATATTTTTCTATTAAGAAAAAAATGTCTATTTGAGGTTGTTTTATTTCACCTTGGAAAGTCAAAGTGAGAGCACATTTGAAGAGCTATTTTTCTTTTCTTTTTTAAAAGTGTGAATAATAATGAGCACAGATCTTCTTATATGTAAATAAAAGTAGTATATTTGACTTTTGCATATTGGGCCAATCCGCCCCTTCCCCTTCTTTCTTTCCCCAGTCATGGAATTCTCATTCAGTGGCAAGATTCCTTTGATGATATAAAACAGAGCTGTGGAAGCTGTGGTCCTCCAGATGTTGCTGAACCAAAGCTTCCACCATTCTTGGCCGCTCACCTTGTTGGTTAGAACTGATAAGAGTAGGACTCCAATAACATCTGGAAGGCCAGAGATTCCCCACCCCAATATAGGGGTTGTGAGACTTAATGCTAATAATCCCAGATTCCTCTAAAAGGAATAATATAACCATCTATTTTATTGGAAGAGTACATGAATATGGAGGTTTTAACAACAACAATCCCTCTTACCTATGTTGGTTTAAAAATACTATTAGATCAGTTTTTATCTTTCTAATGTCAGTCTTCAGAGATCTCTCTATATTGACTCATCTGTCAAGGAGCTCCGACATGGTTCCCAATAGAACCAGCTAGTGGTTACCAGAGAAGCAGCAAGAGTTCTGGACACTCCTGGTCATTCCCAGCAGCCCCACACCTGTAAGGTGCTACTTCCTGCTGCTACCACTGTTTCATGTCTCCTGCTGGCAAGGGTGTCTGTGTGTCCTTGTCTGCCATCCAGCAGAAGTGGCTATTCTTTCCTCTTTATGGTGTACCACCTCACTGGCTCCTGAACATTGTAGATGATTCTGGCGCATGTTTTAGAGTATGCATTCAGCCTCATGCAGACACTGGTGACTCCTATTCGGTCTCACAGCTACCCTACATAAATAGTGGAGTGTGTAACTTAAGAGCTACAACACATCCAACCTTTTCCTGTAGCTGCAGGGGAAGATGGAGGTCTAGCTGTATTTCAGGGAAGCTTGTCAATTTTTGCTTACCTTCTTACTGAGCATGCCCTGATAACTTCCGGGGACGTGAGAGTTCCTTGGAACATAGTTTGAAAACCACTGTCAGTTTTTCCCCAGCAATCTTCTGCTCTTTTCCTAAGTCAATGTATGCTATTTCCCCCCCCCCCAATTCCTTGAGCATTCCAGCTGGTTCTCCAGTGCTAATACTATTCTTAGGTTTTAGACTTTTCAAGGGAATAATAAAATTAAAACACTACCAAAGCATTCTTCACTAAAATGAATCATACATGCATAAAGCATACACAATAAATAGGCCAATAGGTATGCTTAATTTCAATTGCTTTGTCCAGTTTAAAATCAAGCAGTGCATAACTGCAGTGGATTGTTGCCAAAATCTACAAAGAGTACACAGAAGGATGTGCTGGAATTTAATTTAAAGACTGTACAAGAATCTAAGTACTAACACTGAGCCAACTGAAAGAAAGACAGTAAAGAAGGTTGGATGCACATTTTATTGAACCAGCAGCTGTTGGTGGGTGTGTCATGTTTTCCAATGCAATACAGCCCTTTAGGATATTCAAACTTTCATGTTGGACAACAAGTTGCACCAGTAAAAAGAATTGGCTTATCAATTTCCACTTTTCTATTTTTGTGTTAGTAGAAAATTGGCATAAGCATCATCCAAAGAACCACATTACTCCTACATTAGTGAACTGACAGACATATTGTTTCCAAATAAGACTGTTTTGGAACATTATTGCCTCCAAAGACTAATTTTTGCTAGGCTAGATTGAAGGGGTTAAAGGGAGAATCTCTGAATTTAGCTCTAAAGAACAAGGCTACGGTAATTCTGAAGCAGCTTAGTTTTACACAAAGATTCATTGCATTTGATCTTGAAAACAAACTCAAAATGAGGTTTTCTGAAATGAACTGCTGTATAGATACCTTGTTTTATCAATACAAAACTACTTCTTCCTAAACACTTTCTTTCTGGTGCACACAAACATTTATAGCATGTAAAGAATTTTTGAAAGGTGCTCCTTTAAACTTTTACACTGTAAAATTTACAGTAACTACTAATATTCACATAAGTCAAAGGCTAAAATATTCTGGTGACTTTGATACTTTTGAGATTCATATACTAAGCTACAGTGCTTTTATTATGGGGATTTACTATGTGATGTAATAGATGGTTTATAGAGTAACAACAACACTTGCTTAGTGTTTCCAGAGCGTACATCTCCTAAAAGATTATTGAGCAAGCAAAGTAAATGAATCTAGTAGAGAATTTCTAAGGAGGAAATTAAAAAAAATCTAAGCTGGAATACACAAAGACATAGAATCATTCCAAAATCATGGAGAGTATCATTAACTCATATATTCTTATGTCTTACTACTTCCTTTAGTGAATACATCATAGAGACAGCAGATTTTAAAAGTTTATTTTATATCATTCAGAATAGAATGCAACTTGTATATGCTAGAATATTAGTTTTATTTTCTGAATTACTTGTTCTGCTGAACAATGAAGTTCTCAAATTACTTACAGAAACCAATGGATGGTATTATAGAAGAAGTTATTAGGGGCTACAGGGTGTTATAACATTTCCTTTCCATATCTGTGACAATGTTGTGCCAACAGTTTATAATGGTTTATAAGATAGTAAGCATGACCATAATAATTTTACTTTTAATTTTTAGTATTGTACACCGCTTTGTGTGTCATTTCTGGCATGACTGCAGTTCCTAAACAAATAAGAACATGACATTTTTCCTTTGCTATTAAATGCTTAGAGAGATGGACACTGATAGCTGGAATTAGAATTTTGTTTCTGACTTCAACAGGAGAAGAGTCAGACTAAACATTCCAATTTCAGTGGCATTCCAAGAGCCATGGCTCGCAGTGGTCTCAATTAAGAGAAGCCAAGTTCATAAGCTGACATGATTCACATTTGTACCTCTGGACTCTCTGCTTTGATTTCCATGGATCAAACCACTACATTCCTTTTGTCTACTTCTCCAAATATGAAAAGAGATTTGAAAAGCCAGACAGCAGCTACAGCCACCAAAGAAAACAAAGAAGAAAATCCAAGTGCATAAGCTGATGTTTACACACACTATTTTATTTCACAGATGTGTCACCAATGTGTGCAAAAGGTGTGTGCTCAAAGTCAGATGGGGTGTAGGATTTGGAGTAATTATGTTAGCAGAGTTCTCGTGAGCAACACGCAGAATCAAACTTTGGGGACTCAGAAAATTCACCACAAAAGAAGGGTGTTTTTTACACGGTCAAACTTCCTCTCCTGCCCAGAGCAAAATCCAAGAGCGAATAGACTTCCAAGCTCCCGCTGCCCATATCTGTTGCAACCCCTGCACATCCTCCAAAGTTTTCCCCATCCCCAAAATGCAGTACCCCCTTTCACCTTAATCTTCGGAAATTGCATGGCCCCTTCAAAGAACAACACTTTCCATAGTCCATCACATGCTATACCATCAACCTTTTTACCTCTCTTGCTTGTTGCTGCTGCTATTCCTTCTCTGCCAGAAACAATGAGGGATGCAAGGGATGTGTTTGAGGAATTGGGGTGACATTTTTCTGATCTCTTGGTTTGATTCAGGAAATTGTTATCGGGGTTTCCCTTTTCTTTCCAGGAAACCTTGGAAAATTCCAGAGCTAAACAGAGCTAGTCTCAGAGAGCTTGTCAATCTCTAATTGGGAGCAGCTTGACATAATGTGCCTTCCTCATAAGTTGACAGGCGCACAAATCCTTGCCATGTTTTAGTCGTACTTGTGGGAGTGTTTTTGTGAATGAGAATTGCAGCCCTCGGAATGTATTTTAAAAGCCACTGCATTTGTTCATCATACCACCTTAACTGCAAGACCTAATGAAACACAAAAGAAAAGCATAATCTTATATGGCTACTATTCACACTGTGTATAGGTAGGCCATCACGGACCGTACTGAACAACTGCTCTTGCAATAGATCTGTTTGGATTTTAGAATCTCTTTCAAAACAGCTGCTCAGAGGTTAAGTTTGAAGCATATCTACTAACAATACTGGCTTAAAATTTTTGTTTTGTAAAATCATTTGTGAGATATTAACAGACCTTACTGTCCATTTGAGCAGAAAACTAAGCTAAATTTTTGTCCTAGGATAGATTTGGTTTCCTTCTGCAAAGTATGTGCAAAACTAAAAAGACTCAGGATAGAGATTGTGGAGGTTTAACTTTGTCTCTGCCTCCCCTTTTATTGTGAGCAATGTTATGATTGTAGAAAAAATAAACTGGATAATCTAGAAGTGTAATATTGGTTTGGGTAAAAATGAATGGAAAGCTGCACAGTATATTGTACTGATGTAAGTAGAACTATTTGCATATGATGTGATTTTATTTATTGCATTTCTGTAGAGACAGAATTCATGACTGTGGATACACGTAACCTCTGTGTGATGTATTTTTATTTCTTTTACAAGTTTCTCATTCAAAATATTGGTGACTATTGACTATTAAGTGTGTACATTTTCTTGTAAACGTTTCAAGTAGTACAGATTGTCATATTCCCACATTATAACAAAAGGCTTCCATTAAAGATATGAACCTATACATTCACCTAACAGCGTGTTCTCGTGATATTAAGTTAATCCTTGCTATACAACATGCAATTGGTACAATAGGAAAACTTATTTTAAATGGCTGGGGGAGATCTTTCAGACAGCCACTTTTCTACCACCACCCAAGAAATCCACACCCATTCAAATATGCTGACTTTTATACAATGGTTGGATAACTTGCCCCCCAGATATTGCTGGAATCCAAGTCAGGGTGAAGGGTCACACTGGTTATCCCTGTTTTATACTACACTGGTTGGTATTAGTGGAATGGATTATTCATAATTATAAACATTTTATAACAAGAAAAATGGGTAGATAAATCTTGGGTGTCCAGAGCACTGTCTAGTCATGTTGTGTTGGATGAGTTTCAGTTAGTAAGGCTTGGATCAGTCAGGGTGACCACTTGTGCTCTGGACATTTGCCCCTCTTGGCTGATAAAAAGCAGCAGGGAAGGGACAGCCAGCTGAGCCAGGGAGTTGATTAATGCCTCTTTACGTGAGGAGGTGGTCCCTGCCTGCCTGAAGGAGGCAGTGGTAAAACTACTCCTCAAGAAACCCTGGATTTGGAAAATCTAACTAGCTACCATTCAGTTGCTCACCTCCCTTTCCTGGGGAAGGTTCTAGAGTGGGTGGTTGTCAGTCAGATCCAGGCACTCTTGGAGGAAATAGATTAACTAGATCCCTTTCAATTGGGGTTTAGGCCCAGTTTTGGCACAGAAACTTCTTGGGTCGCCCTATATGATGACCTCTGTTGAGAGAGAGAGAGATGGGGAAAACGTCCCCACTGTGGAAGGACGTGTGGATCCAGAATTGGCCTCTACAGTCACTTATGGACACACCATTAAGACCATGTTAATGAAAGACAATCTTACTCGGCCATGAGTGATCGCCGAAGGAAGCAACATTGATTTCAACAGGGCTCACCCCTGAGTAGACATGGTTATAATTAAGAGACACTATAATCAAACCTTAAATGTATACAAAATGAGCAAAGTGAACTCTTGAGGGTTTTCTTATAGGAAAAAAAAGTTGCTGTGTTTTTTGTTATTTCATGCTGCTACTTTAGTGTTAATAATTATTATAATTATAATTAAAAGCATCATTTACCATTTAATTTATGGTATTATTTTTGTTAGCAGCTTTGAGCTCTCTGGAGTAAACATGGGATATAAATGCTTTAAACAAAAAATTAATGAAAGGTTGTTCAAAGATCTCAAGATTCCTATTCAAGTTCCAGTATCTCCAGTAATGACTGTCTGTATCAGGGATTAACAGCTATCAGCCTCTGTGCAGTCAAGTATGGGGCAAGGCAAAGGCAGAGAAGAAGAAAGGGAAATGCAAGCTTGCAAGAGCAGATTGCTTTGTTGTATAGACTGCTGGACAACCATGATATAGAACTTCAGTGTCAGTGAATATTAATTGCCTAATCTAACCTGTCAGCTCAAGGAGGTTGGCTAGGGGAGATCATATCCACACTAATCTTCTTAATTTATCTGTAGCCTTACGTTGTAATGTCCACTGTTACACAGATTTATGGGAGTGAAGAGGTCCATCAATGTCTAATATGAAGCAATATGTTTCTGAAAATTAGTCAATGAGGTGGGGGTGGGGGGAGCAACAAGAAGTATGGGCTACTGCTCTGCTTGCAGATTTCTCAAAAACATCTGGCTGGTCTGTTATTCATTCTGAAGATTGATATTCTGCATTCCAGTCAAATGATTCTGAAGGTAACTTGGAAACATATAAAAGACCCCACACTCACTGATGCACACATACAACCCAGCAGTATTTTGGCTGAGGGATGGGACCGGAGCATACTTCCCTTAAGGGGAATGTGTCCAAATTTTGACAAATCTGTGCCCTTTTGGGGTGGTGGCGATGCATTTCCCCTTTTTCAAGCAAACAGCCATCCTTGGCGCAACCTTCCAGTGGCTCTTGCTCTCCTCTCTGATGGCAGACACCAGAGTATGCTTCCCTTCTAAACTCCAGAGGTTTAGACTCTAGCTGAACCTTTACTCTGATTTGACAGGAAGGATGCTTTGTACATTCCTTTAACCTAAGCTTGGAGATGCTGAAGATGTTAACTCCCTGCCTGATATCTCTCAGGTAGGTACTTGAATCCCAACACTAGCGGTCAGCCTCTCAGCTGCTTCTGTTTGCCCCCAGCAGCTCAACTGCTTCCTTAGAACTTGTGCAGGAATTTATTTATACTGTATACTAGCTTTTGATGGCAAAGATGAGAACAAATTCCTAGCTTTCAGGGTCATGCAGAAAACCTTAAAACTGAGTCTTCTGAACTATATACCTATTGTATGGAAGTTAACAATGAAGATTGATTCTACGTACTCCAATGGTAGCCAAAAGACTGATATTGATAACTGGAAGAATAAAGATATAATCCCCTTTAATAAATGGATCACTAATATGATAACACTCACAACTTATGAATGGACTGCTTACAGACGTAGACTTGGCTTGGAAAAATATGACAATATTTGGAATGAGTTCATACAAAAGGTAAAGGGATCCTGACGATTAGATCCAGTCGCAGACGACTCTGGGGTTGCGGTGCTCATCTCGCTTTACTGGCCAAGGGAGCCGGAATACAGCTTCTGGGTCATGTGGCCAGCATGACTAAGCTGCTACTGGCGAACCAGAGCAGCGCACGGAAACGCCGTTTACCTTCCCGCACTTTGACGTGCTTTCGAACTGCTAGGTGGGCAGGGGCTGAGACCGAACAATGGGAGCTCATCCCTTCGCAGGGATTCGAACCGCCAACCTTCTGATCAGCAAGCCCTAGGCTATGTGGTTTAACCCACAGCGCCACCCGCGTCCCATACGAAAGGTAGTAGGCTATTAATATTTACATATGTATTAGGATAATAATATATATGGGTTAGGATTTTTTTGTATATATTCATATATATTTTTCTGCAAATTTTTGTGCCTTTTTGTTTTTCTTCTCTTCTTCTCTTTTTATCACTTTATTTATTTAAGTTGAAATCTTTTCAATAACATATTACCCAAAAAAACTAAGATTGCAAAAATTTAGTAAATTAATTGATCATATTGAAACATTTTAAAATGCTTGATTGGTTAATCTCTTCATTCCTGCAGAGTGCAGACAGAAAAAACTCTCTTCCAGAAAACAGGGCAGCAAGCCAAATATAAATCAAACTGATGATCCTTAGGCAGAGGTGGATTCTTTCAACAGTCAGTAAATAGCCCACTGTGTTAAAAATGCCAATTCACTTTGGAAACGTATTTTAGATTCAAGCTATGGTGCAGCGACTCAGAAATTTCTTCCCAGAAAGCCTGCCATTCCTTAAATGTTTATAGGTAGGTAGGTATGTCACCACGCAAGAATAAATATCTTAAAGGCTTCATTAATAATCCTCTCTGCAGTCAGAGACTGAGAACTGAAAGACATTTAGAAGCATGGGCACCTCCAGGGCAGGGCTGAGACAGATAGAAACACTGAAATACTTTGCCTCTATCAGAGAATTACTTTTAAAAAAAAATTCCTCATTATTGTGCCCCAGTGCTGTCAAGAAAGCAAAACCTTTTCAACAAACGAAAACAGCAAAATGTGTGTGTGTGTGTGTGTGTGAGAGAGAGAGAGAGAGAGAGAGAGAGAGAGAGAGAGATGCTTGTGTTCAGTATGCAAAAAACACCATTAGAGTATTCACCATTTGAGCCTCTAGTTTTACTTTCAATAGTTAGAGCTAGAGGTCTGAGAAGAATCTGGCTGCCCTGCCCATCCACTAATATATGGCTAGAAAAAATAAAAGGGAGTCTAGACTATGTCCATCTTAGAACAGGCTTTAGCAGAATTGGCATCAACAATAGAATCCTATGATCCCAGAGGGAAGAAGACAGCTGTATACATACAAACACTCACATTGTTGTCAGTTTTTCTTTTTATTATTCATTGAATTGTAATTCCTACGCTAATTTTGAAAACAAACTGCAAGCTGTGTTGCTAAAAGAAGGTGTTTCAGAATGTCAATAGCACTTACTCATTTACTGTACAATCACCTCTAGTTGGCTCCTCTACAGGGTAGCCCAAACATTTGGTTGCATCACACATATGGGGAAGAGTTATTTATGCAGGGATTTATTATTCTGATTATCTTCTCCAATGGTCCAAGCTGCATTTCTGCAGCCCCATCCATCAGGACATTGATCCTAAAGACATACAGAGAAAGGGTGGGAGGAGACGTGCTTCTTACTGAATACCTTTCATCACAGAAGCAAGCTTTATAGCCCAGCATCACTCACTATGGAAAAGAAACAAATTGACTAACAGTAAAGTGCTAAGTAAAGTCCACAGGCTTGCTAACTGATTGCTCACAGAGCAATCAGAAAATGATGGGGTGGGGGTAATACCGCCTTTAAAATTCCTCCAAAAATCCACAAGTAAGAAAAAGAAATAAAACCTTTGGTCAAACACAACAATACACAGCCCAACCAATCCCTATGATGAAAAATGCTATCCTTATTTGATAGAAGTTAGCGATAATATTGCTTAATGAATTACTGGAAGGCGGTAATGTAAAAACAGCAACAGTAGACTCAGATCTCAAATTATCTGAATAGAAATGATGAATAACAAACAGAGGAAAGAAGAAAAATACCTTTGGGGTTTCTTCTATTTAGTTAAAGCAGAGAAAGGATTTAAGCTATTGAGGAGAGAGGAGTTGAAACGGGGAAATCTCATCCTTCAGGAGGTTTAATTAATTTTCAGTTAGTTACCTAGCAGTTGTACTTTGGACTAACAGGGACCCATTGAAGAGAGCACTGTCTTGCTTGTGGTGGCGGTGGCTCTAAGTCAGTTTCCAGGAAAAATTAAAAGTGCTGAAGCTCTTCTTTAAAACCTTAAATGACATTGGACCAGAGTATCAAATATCATGCTCATCTTCAATAGGGCTGTTGCAGTAGGGTTCTTCAAAACAAGCATCCTTGTTTGATTATTTATGAGTAGGTCTAGGTTGAACAGGGCCC